CTCAGTTGCCCAAATACTATCCCCCCCCAAAAAAAAAAATGGCCAGGTTTTCAGACCTCCACTTGGCACTCGTACGAGACAATAACGAGAAAGCGAAGCAGCTCATCGAGTCGGGCGCAGATGTCAATGCTGTGTACCAACAGGAGACAGCCTTCACGCGTGCCGTGCAACGTGCGAATTTCGAAATCATGGACGTGATCTTAGCATGCCACGACTTTGACCCCAATGCCAAGAACACGTTTGACAGAACCCCGTTATTCGTCAGTGCAAAAAAAGGATTCACTCGCTATATTGAAGGTTTGAACAATCTTCTTTGATATTTCTCCCACACTTTAAAAAAAATGTATCAGAGAAAGGAATAGAGGACATCCAAAGATCACTTACAATACAGGCGCTCTTCGCACATAAGTATAGCCTGCCTGCCTGTCTGCCTGTCTGCCTGTCTGTCTGTCTGTCTGTCTGTCTGCCTGTCTGTCTGTCTGTCTGTCTGTCTGTCTGTCTGTCTGTCTGTCTGTCCATAGCCAGCTCCGCAGCTCTTTCAGTTGTGATGTTATGTTTTCTTAGGGTTTCCTTGACACCCTCGATCCACCTTTTGCGTGGCTTTCCTTTTCCTTTATAGCCAGAGTGCTTGGTGCTGTAGGCTCTCGAGGCTGGCTGGTCAGGTGACATGCGTAGCAGGTGGCCGAACCATTATCGAGCTATCTATCTATCTATCTATCTAGTTAGCTAGCTAGCTAGCTATTGATAAAAAGTAATTATTTTGTGCCCCAACAGACGGTAAGAGGATTCCATTTATAGGTCCTACTTCTTTACTCTTTACTAGTCCTGTCTTGTTCCGGTGTCTAAGGATGCCTTTTTTTTAACATAATGATAATTATTGTGCCAATGTTTACTAGAACTAAATAGATGGCATCTATGTTACAATGAATCTGATTTTGAGTTTGGCTGCAAAAAAAGATATATCCTCCTCTACAATGATCTAAATTGTAAAAATGGGCGGTAAAAAACCCCTAGAAAAGATCCAGCAAAATTAAAAAAGAGAAAAAGTAGCTTTCCTATTTTCCATTTTATTTCCATTTTAGAACTATTGTCTATGCGCGCATACGTCGACCAAGAAGACATCAAGGGAGTGACGCCTCTAGGTGCATGCTGTTGGGACGATTTCCATGAGACTGCTGAAGCGCTGATTCGTCATGGTGCCGAAATAGACACCCCAGATGTTATGGGAGAAACTCCGCTCTTTCGCGCATGTGATCACGTCAGCATCAACTGTGTACGAGTGCTCATTGAAAAAGGCTGTGATGTGAACATCGCCAAAGAGTCCGGAGAGACGCCACTAATGGTAGCTCTCCCGTCTTTAACCTACAGCTATGAGTGTAAGGAAAAGAAAATCTCCGACATGTTAGAGATCTGCCAGATGTTGATCAATGCTGGCTGTGACTTGGACGCTCAAGACTCCAGAGGACGCACGGCTTTGCACCATGTTGTGGACAACAGAGATGTCTTTGGGCTTTGTTTACTAGCAGAAAACGGATGCAATTTGGAAGTCTGTGACGAAAGCCGTCAAACACCCTTTCAGAATGCTCTATTTCAAGCCGTGCCAGCTTTCGAGATTGCCAGATTCCTTGTGTACTACGGCGCAAACTGTCGAGAGGAGATCAGTGTTCGTCGTCATGGTAGGATGGAAATGAAGTCTCCCCTGGCTTTGGCGATAGAGGCTGCACCGCTCGGAGATCAGCTCGACAAAGTCCGTGAGCGATATTTGCTACTGAGAGTTTTGAAGGAAGCAGCTTACCCATACCTTGGTGGTCTTTCTTCCATAATGGTTTTACCACAAGTGAGTCAAAACCCTCACCCTATTGATCAATACAGGGCAGTCGAGAGGGAAACTGCAGATTGGATGCGATCAGAAGTACCCGTTTCCCTCAAGTTCCAGGCACGGTTGAAACTTCGAGAAATGTTAGGAGTAAGAAACACCCTAAGTAGGATTGACTCATTGCCTGTTGGGAAATATTTAAAGAGCTACATAACGTTCAATCTTGAGAAAGAGCTGCCGTTATCAAGAAATTGCATGTTGCATGTGTACATTAAGGACGGTGAGAACAAGAAGCTGGAAGACCTCTTGCAGAATGGTGCTGATGTCAACTTCATGGTAGACGGGAAAACGCCTCTTGCAACAGCGATCTCGCAGAAAAATCTGAAAGCCTTTAGGATACTGTTCTCTTCTTGTGTCACCTCAATGGGTCAAAACCCGATTAATGCAAAAGGTGACACGCCCGTGCACCTCGCTGCTGCCTATGGTTTCATCAACATTATCGACGATATCATCCACGCCGGCGGTTCTGTTAACGCGCTCAATAAGAAAAGATACACGCCTTTGTACTCCTCCGTGGCAGCCGGTCATTTTGAAGTAGCCTCGCTTCTGATCAGACGCGGTGCCGAGGTCAATGGCGAGGAGATACTGACCGTTCCCCTACTCCACCTAGCGGCTGCGAGCCACAACATTGAGGTAGTGGAGATGATGTTGGAGAGAGGGGTCGAAGCTAATCTCAGGGATCGTCAAGGGAACACACCCCTCCACATAGTGGCCAGCCAAGTAAGGATACTTTATCAGTTACTTTATTGCAGAATACCTGCATAGGCACACGCTATAATTCTGAGACCGATCTATTATACCACTGACACACTCGTAAATGTTCACAAACTGATGTACGCACATTCACGTTAAATCGCAATGAGGATTCATTCCTCACTAAACAGGGAAGGCATATTGCGTTTGCATGGCTACCTAACCATGTAGGCATCCAAGTCCTTGTCCCTTTTACTGGGATCAATAGAGGACACCCTCCCGCAAGCAGACTTTAAAATAAGGTCAAAAGCGACACATCCAGTCTGTGGGAATAAATGGAGCGAACAATTAATTGAACAGCAAACTCTACAATAAGATGGCCTACAAAAGCCCTCGGCTTTCCCCACAAGAGATGGAGTTTTTAAAAACAAGTTTGTGGATAGAACATACCTTCCAGGCGTACAAATATCTTCTGTAGGGAGAAGTAAAATCATTTTGCGTTGTTTGCAATACAAACTTTTCGATCATTCACATTCTAATAGAATGATAAGACTTTAACCCTAACCGTACGCCCTGGGATCATTTTGTACCTCCCGGGTTGTATTCTTCATATTTTAGAATACTTTTAGTGCGAAGATCTCTTTGGAACTTTCAGTATTTCTAAAAAAAATCATTTTGACAGACTGCTATGCAAAAGCGTACGGGTCGGATTAACGAGTAAATTTCCTTTTTAGAAAGTGGTGGCACAGACTTTTCCACGTCATATGGATACGACGTACGGATAGGGTTAAAGAGACCCAAAGGAAATCATTTAAGTCTACTAGTCGCAAGAATTTGTTCGCCATCGTTCATCCCAACAGAATTCTTGATCTATAACAGCATTTGGTTTCTAGCAGTGTGAATTACTGTTGTTTTACAAATGAATTTTTATTATTCTAGATACTTCAACCGTTTTGACCAGCAAAGATAAACCAAGCCGTGCAATGCATTAACATAAAAGCAACCAACTTGTGTCCAGTGCGGTACATCAAAGACACACGGTATTAACTCGAGCACCCCTCATGCCCCCACCTTCTTTTTCAGGCACATGTGTACCTAGATCAGCGACTGTGTCTTCCAGCTCTGTACAGGTCAAACTTGGAAATGAATCTAGACATGATCGCTATGAACATGAACGGCCTCAGAGCCAGGCCCACGGTTCCAGGCAAGGAGAAGTACCAGGATGTAGCAAGGCTACTTTTGGAACACGGAGCAGACGTGACGGTCTACAACTCGCAGTCTTTGACGCCGTTGGAAATGGCGGAGACAGGAGACGATCCGATCCTGATTGATATCCTCAAAATTATGACTTAATGATGATGACGTTTTGTGTTGTCGTTTATTTGCTCTTTTATTTCTATTTGTTTCAATTCTTATTTAACTTTAAATTCTCTTTTTTTCATTTCGTTTTCCAAGGGATTAAAAAACTTTTTCTCTTTTCATTCTAGTTTGTAACCCCC